ATGAGATGGAGTTCACGGAGGCAGAGAGCAACATGAACGACCTGGTCTCCGAATACCAGCAATACCAGGATGCCACTGCTGATGAGCAGGGGGAGTTTGAAGAGGAAGGAGAGGAGGATGAGGCTTAAGCTCCCTGGTATCAAAGGAACTTCTGTAAAGCAGGCATGCATACTGAATGACTTCTGATGGTGGTGGTGAAGCATGTTTTCTAGAAACTGTGTACCCAATTATCTTCTCAGCACTTGTAACTTTGGCAGATTTCTCAGTGTAACAGTTTTGAATCCTAATTATCACAATGTTTTTTTGTCCTTTAGTTAGGAGCACATAAAGGCATGTATTCTAGATCATGTTTTCTGTCTTTCTTAATGCCTCTATGGGACAAAGAGCAGCTGCTCAGCCTGTGTGGCAACAAGTAAGTTTAAAGAGATGTCAGAAATTTTGCAGCACAGTGGTGTGCTCTGATCCACTGAGACTTGCATAATTCTCAAGATGTATGCTTCTCATGAAATGTGTTTAATGTTTTTTCTTACAGGACTCATACCTACCTATGAATTGAATGAAAATGGAAAGCCATCTTAAATTCCTAAACAAGTCAAAGGACAAGCACCTCTAACTTGCTTTACAGTTTAAGTCAGCGTAGGAAGTCTTCCACTTGTCTGTTGAAGTCCTCTGCAAAACGCAGGTGTAAGTTATGCTTTCCTTCTGGCATCAGAAGCAACCTTAAAAGAGTAATAAAATCAAACACAGATTATACATTTCATTGCATGAGCATAGGTGATTAAAATACTTGTTGCCTTTTCCTTGCTTTTGGTTACCCAATAAGGAACTGAAGTAACACTTAAGTACTGTCCCTAGGTTCTGTGGTTCACATTTTGAACCACATAACAGTTGAAGCAACAAGCACACTAATTGCCCCACTTTGGGGAGGATAAAATAAGCTTAAACAAATTTTGCCCCATTTCTAGAAGCCTTTTCTGTGATCTACAAAGAAGATAAGATTCCAAAACTTATGTGAGCAGACTGCATCTTTGAAAGGTATGTGAAGTACATGAGCACTTTTGTCTCTAACAGAACAGTAGTTGTGCTGGGCAGTGTATACACTGAAGAGATGGCTACAAGAAAGTAGAGTTCTTGTCACAACTCAGACTTGGTTAGTGTTTGTATTTTGTCTAATCTTTCTGCAAAAAGACAATACAAAACTAATACCATTCATTTATTAAAGGAAAAAACGGAAGTCAGAACTTCTTTGCTTATAACAAAACCTTAGAAGTGGTAGCTGCTAAGAAGGTAAGATCTTTGTAATATGGATATGTGTGATATGCCTAAAATGCTTCTTACTATTGTTTTCTATGTGAGACAAACTTTATATATCAGTTATGTCCACTTCTTTATATGGCGGTGGAAAATTATTTAAATTGTTTTGTTCTACCATACACTAAGCAGTTTCAACAGACCTAAAGCTATTTTGACTGGTGTGTCATTGTCGTCATGTCCTACCACAGGAAGGGGAATCAATTTTTTGGTGGTGACAGGTGCTGGGTTTTTTTGGGGAGGGGAAAGAGCAATAGGACGTGAACATACTCAGCTTTTCTAGCAAATTTTATCTGAATTTCATTAAGTCTGTTTCTTCAAAGATTAAGTAGCACAGATGCGCAAACCTGTTGTATGCACTGTGTATGCTATTTTCTAATGCTGTTAACGTTTCCTACTACTGTAATGCTACCTAACTCCAGCCATACCATGCAAATGCAGAGTGATGGCACGTCTTCTACCAGAAGAGAAACAATGTATCTGCATTACAGATCAGAGGAAGTTTTTTCTACTTTACTACTAGATAAAAATCAAGGCAAGAAAAGCTGATGATAGAAAATTGTTACTGAGAATGTCAGTAGAAGGTTTTCCTTCTGCTTCCCAATAGAACATGTGCTTTCCAGTGCAACTAGGGAAGAAGGGGACCATGTACCCAAGTGTTAATTTCTGAGAACATCATCAGTCTGGTTTCTTTTCTGACAAATACTCATACAGGGGAGCACTTCAGCACAAAGACATGCCAAGAACCACTGTTTTACATTTTACTGGATGGCAATTACTAACAGTGTTTCCTTTTCGGCTTGTCTTCCAAAAAGAAGCTATCAGATCCTTGTCTAGTTTTTGTCATGACTTGGCTTAGTCAGCATCTGAAGCATTTTGAAGCTCAGTGAAACCAAAAAGGATGATAGGTGTTTTGAGTAGGCCACGTAGGAGTAACTAACTGGCAGACATGGAATAAAACACCTGCATGTGATTGTTAGGAAGGTCTCTTGTTCTCATCTTTCCTGTGGCATAATGCCATTCCTATGATCAGCAAGGCTGACTTTGAGATAATTATATCACTCTCATTTTTGCACAGAGATGACACCAATAAAATAGTTCCCTCTACTTTGCATTCATAAAAATGTGCTTGGTGGGTTTTTTTCCCCTGCTACTTCTATTCTCTACTACTAATCATCACAGTCTGTTACTAAGTAGTAATAGAACTCTTGTATTTGTGTGCAAATTTACGAAGAAAATTCAGCTGGTAGAATCTCAGCTTTTAATAGGAAGCATTTCTGGAATTTTGGAATTGTGTTGGTTTTGGCTGGAATAGAGTTAATTTTCTTCACAGTAGCTGTTATGGGGATATGTTTTAGATTTGTGCTGAAAACAGTGTTGATAATATAGAGATGTTTCTGTTATTGCTGAACAATGCTTACACAGTGTCAAGGCCTTTCCTGCTTCTCGTACTCCCCACCATCAAGGAGGCTGGGGGTGCACAAAGAGTTGGGAGGGGACACAGCTGGGACAGCTGACCCCAACTGACCAAAGGAATATTCCATACCCTATGGCATCATGCTCAGCATATAGAGCTGAGGGAAGAAGTAAGGGGGTTGTTTGGAGTTGATGTTTGTCTTGCCAAGTAACTGTTATGTGGGATGGAGCCCAGCTTTCCTAGAGATAGCTGAACATTTGCCTTCCTATGGGAAAGCAGTGAGTTAAGTCCTTGTCTTGCTTTGCTTGCATGTGCAGCTTTTGCTTTACCTATTAAACTGTCTTTATCTCAACACGAGTTTTTTTCCATTTTACTCATCTGATTATCTCCCTGATCCAACTGGTGAGGGGTTGATTGGTACTTAGTTGCTGTCTGGGATAAAACTACAGCACACATGAAGCACATGGTGCCCTCAGATTTTTCTTGTTGATAAAGTAATATCTCCAAAAACAGTTGCACTTTTTTTTTTCTCATTCTGCTTTTCTTAAAAACACTGAAAATTCCTGGGGCAGTTGGCAACATAGAATCTTTGAGGTTGTGGTTCACATCAGCAAGGCAGACCAAACAGAAGTATCCTGTGCTTTTCTCTCTAATAACTGGGAATGTCTCCCCATTCATATTCTCTAAGTTCCCTGTTCTACTGAATGGCACAGAAATGAGGTCTCTTACAGAAAAACAAAT